TGACAAAGTCATGTTCTCTCTACATATTGTATCACCGCTGGATAACTTGTCCACCGATCTTTCATTGTTTGTACAACAACATTATAATCCTCCTCGAATTGCAGCATCCATGATATGTTTCCATTTCCCGTTTTTGAAACTCGCACCGCTCTTCTTGTTTTTGAACATATCAGTGACCCGAGCCTCCACATCTTTGTTAATGTGCCATCGACAAAGTAAGTGCGAGGTCCCTAGAAACACTTCTCTCAGTGCCGCACATAGCCAAGCTCACGGTCTGTCAAAAAAACCGACGGTTCCCTATCATACCCAATCAAGTCTCTCAGTCTCTGCAAAACCCATCGATAGCTTGCCGTGCACTCGTTGCGCATGAACACGTAACCGACGAGGAAATTCTGATTTGTCGGTGTCACACCTACTATCTCAAAGAACGGCATCCCGTATCGGTTGGTCTTGTAAGTGGAATCCATACCGATCACATATGGGTACGTCCGTAGTATGTCTACCGTGATTGGGTGCACCATAAAGGCGTGCTATAAAACGCCTAGATCATTAGACATGACCCAGTAAAGATACTGACTCTGTCTCGCCAAATGTAGAAATTGCTGAACTACTCCTTTCCTATCAGACATCTCCGTTCTCAAGTCATTCCGACAGTTGTAGATGTGTCTGATGTTTGGATGATCATCAGGAAATTGCTCGGCAATAGTCGCCATAATGTTACGCGGTGCAACCTTAGACTTTGTCATGTCACGCACAACCTTCTTCACATCCGGGCTCAACCCACTAATTGTACGATGCCCCTCCTAATACACAATCATTGGATGGTTATAGGTCCCAGTTGCATCATTTTTTGCCCGGATCCTCCAACTATCGGTGATGAACTCGTAATATATCTTGATGTAGAAAGGACAACCATTGGCTTTGGTTTTTGTGTCCTTCCGAATTGCGTTCTCAAGATCTCTCGACTTGATCCTACGTCCTCGATCACATCTCAAATATCGATACGGCCTACCATCCTTGGTTTTGTTGTAAGACGATTTGACCAAAATAAATCCCAGATTTATGGAAACAACATCCGCCCATTGAAATGCATCATCAAACGTTGGAAAAAACGTATCTGTGACAAAATTCGCACTATAATTCACACCGTCACCGCCTTCTTCAAACTCCAAATCCTTTAAAAATACAAGAAAACACAAATAACACGCCAATATTAGTATTTTACTTATGATAATAATAACACCAATATTTTTAAAAGAACAATAATAATATTTTTACTTATGATTAGGGTAGGTTTAGGGTTCGACTTCCACGTCCTTTTTCCGCGACGTCTCCGGCAATTTGTCACGTCAGGTGAGGGGGTTCGGATCAGGCTAGTTTCAGGCAGTCTATGGGCGGGTTTTAAGGCATTTTTGGGCTGTTTTTGGCCGTGAATCAGGGCAGTTTTCTCAACTATTTCTCAGCTTTTTCACAATCATTTTCTGGTAGGTTTCTCGCAATTTTCAGGCGAGCTTTAGCCAAGTGTAGTGTTATCGGTGGCGTCTCCGGTTGCTGTTTGTTCAGGCGTATTTTAGGCAGTATTCAGGCAGAATTCTGGCAGCATTCAGGTTCTGGTTTGGTGCGTATTTCAGGGGTTTTCTCAGGTCGTTTTGTTCCGTTTTCAAGCGTGGTTCAGGCGTGTTTTTGGTGGGTTTTCAGGCGGGTTTTAGGCTGCAATTTTGGTGTGGATTTGGTGCGTTTCTGGGTTATTTCTGGCGTTTTTTGGTCTGTTTGCGGGTGAGGTTTATTCCGGCAGTTCCTGGGCAGTTTTTGGGCAGTTTTTGGTGCCGTTTTGGTGTGTATTTGGTGCTGGTTTTAGTGCAGTTTAGGTGTGTATTTGGTGCTTTTTTTGGGTGTTGTTTTGGAGTGTGTTTGGTGCTGGTTTTGGTGCTGTTTGGGTGTGTGTTTGGTGCTGTTTTTAGAGCAGTTTTGGTGTGGAATTGGTGCTGTTTTATTGCGGTGTTGGTGGAGTTTTGGGACGATTCAAGTGTCGTTTGTGTGGCACTGTGATTTGGGTGTTATGCCTCCTATTGTTCAATTTCATTGCCCTTTTGTGGGTCTAAATGGGTGTCATGATGGTCGGGGTAAAGGGCTCACAAAAACCTCTTTAATCACTCATCTCCGTGACCGTCATTGTTGTGTGGATGCACGGGATATGACCCAAAACTCTCTTACCTCTGATTTGACTATTTTCTTAGAGGCGGAGTCAACCTTTCGTCGTATGGGCATTTGGCTTTGTGGGGAGTGTTTAAAGACACATACTCTTCGTACGAAGTGTCGACATGGTCTTGGTTTGGATGATATTGTGGCCCCACCTGATTCTGGGGATGGTGTTGTTCAGTTTGTTCTTTATGGTTTTCCTAAACCGCAGGGTCCATCTTTGGAGGTATCTGATCTTGTTCCAAGTGTGCCTCATGAGCCTCTTTTTGCGTTCGATGTTGCTCTCCTAGATAGTTTGCTATCTAAGAGGTTTCGTACGGTGAAATCTATTCCTCCTAAGTTGCGCTTGAGTTTTCTCAGGTTCTCAAAGGAGCGCTTATAAGGTGATTTGCAAACCTGATGACGTCTCTTGTTGGGTTCAACTTCTTGTGTTGCCTCTCTGTGTTCTAAAAACCTTTTCTCCGAGAAGTTGTCGTAAGTGTTCTTCGGGTGTCAGGCGGCAGCGGCTGGAAGAGAGTATCTCCGCTGCTATTCGTTCTTGGTGTGAGCTTGGTGGTCATGTGCATCTTGTGCGGGACACGTTGGCTGATGTGTCTCCACCTCTGTTGGATGCTGATGATGAGCATGATTTGTCTGAGCGTAATATTACGCACTGTAAGAGAAATATTAGTGACGGACATTACACTGCTGCGGTTCGAGTACCTTCGTCTTCTGGTCTGGCCCCTTACAATGATGCTACTCTTGCTGATTTGCAAGCTAAGCACCCTTCCTTTTCGGCTCCTATCTTACCGGATATCCCTGTTGATCAGCCCCTTATTGCTGCACCTGCTGTTGTTTTAGATCAGATTAGGGGTTTTCCGCGTGGTACGTCATGCGGAAGAGACGGCTTGCGTGCTCAACACCTTCTTGATTGCTTGAGTGGTGCTGCGGTTGTTATTTCAGATGAGTTGGTGGGCTCTATTACGCTGGTGGTTAATCTCTTTCTCGCAAGAAAATGTCCTGCTGAGTTGGGGGAGTATATTGCTAGTGCTCCTCTCACGCCACTTGTTAAGCCCAGTGGTGGTATTCGTCCTCTTGCTGTGGGTACTGTTTGCCGGCGTTTGGTTTCAAAGGTTAGGGCTGCTTTAGTTGGTCCTCGTTTGGGGAACTATTTAGGAGGTCTTCAGTTTGGTGTTGGGGTGCCGGCGGGTGGCGAGGCTATTCTTCATGCTGTTAATCGTTTGGTTGAGGCTCGAGGTGGTGATGTTGGCCTTTCTATCTTGCTAGTGGATTTCCGGAATGCCTTTAATTTGGTTGATCATACAGCTTTACTGCGTGAGGTTTGTCTCCGTTGTCCATCTCTTTCGCGTTGGGTTGAATTCTGTTACTCTACTCCAGCCAGGCTCTATTATGGGAAGCATACCTTAAGGTCATGTCAAGGTGTGCAACAGGGTGATCCAGTTGGCCCTTTGCTTTTTGCTTTGGTGCTCCATCCGTTGGTTTGTCGAATTAGGGATTCTTTCGACTTATGTTTGCAGGCTTGGTATTTGGATGATGGCACTATTATTGGTGACACCTTGGTGGTAGGGAAGGTTATGGAGTTGATTTTGGTGGAGGGACCTCGTCTCGGCCTCCATGTTAACGTTGAGAAAACGGAATTTTTCTGGCCCTCGGAGGACCCTCGTAGCCGGCTGGCCGGTGTCTTTCCTCCAGATATTGCTCGTCCTGCTCATGGGTTAAGTTGCTTGGTGGTCCTGTCAGTGCGGATGCCTCTTTCTGTGGTGAGCTTGTTTCGCAGAGAGTGTCGAAGACCATTGTGCTCATGGATGCTGTTGCTAAGCTTGAGGACCCCCAGTGTGAGTTGTTACTACTTCGTGCGTGTACTGGAGTTTCAAAACTCTACTTTTCTATGCGCACTTGTCCTCCTCGTCTTTTTGAAGCGGCCTAGATTTCTTTTGATGTGGCCCTTCGAGGTTCTTTGGAGCGCATTGTAACTGCTTCGGGGCTAGGTTTTGGTGATTGGCAATGGCGACTTGCCACCTTACCTCTTTCTTATGTAGGATTGGGTGTCTATTCAGCGAGTGATGTTCGACACTATGCTTTTCTTGCGTCGCGCTTGCAGTCTTCTGGTCTTCAGGTCTTCAGGCTTTGCTTCTTCGCAATTCTGGTATTGTTGGTCCAGGTTCGGCCTTCGACGGCGCTCTTAGTCTTTTTAATAGGACTGTGGAGACTGACCTTTTGAGTAACCCTAGTGAGATCGCTGCCCCTAAACTCATGAAGAAATTGGCAGATATATATTTCACGAAGGCTCTACATTTGCAGAATCCACTTTCTCCTTATCTCCGCGTCAGGTTGCCTTATGGAAGTCCCAGCAGGGGGATCACATTTCTGCCTGGTTGCAAGTGGTCCCGATATCCGGTCTGGGTCAGACTATGAATGGTAAGACTTACCGTTTCTCCATGGATTTTCCGGATATCTTAGGCGGATCCTCCATGGATTTTCCGGATATTTTGGGCGGATGTGCCTTTTTCAAAAAAGAAAAAATTTCTACAACTTACAGATTCTTCCGAAGATGCCTCCGGCGTACGATCGTCGTCGTCGTTCATCGTCCAAAACCCGTCGCTAAATCTTAATAATTTTTTTTTTAAAATTTAATATTTTTGGTGGTGGGCTCGGGATTTTTTAAATGCTAGTGATGGGTCAAAATGCTCTGGAATAATATTAAACTGCTCGGTATACTATGTGACAAAATGGTGAAGCTTTATATAAGTCAAATTAACACAAGGGCAAAACGGTAATTTCACATTTAAATGGGAGTGTCACCACATAAATTGGGAGCAGCAGTTCACAAAAAAAAAATTCCATTTAAACCGGTACATCATTGAAAATTAACTACGAGTAACAACCAACCAACCTCACAAACCCAAACACACCAACCAACTCCCTCTTTCTTTCTCTCTCCTTTCACGCCCGCCGGTCACCTCGCCGCACTCTATACTACACTCCTCTTTCCTTCTCTCTCTTTGCGATTCCTTTGATTTCAATAAGGTTGTTATTTTGATTATTTTAATTTTGATTTTGGTATATAGTTCTCCGATTCTTTAATTAAATTTGTATTCTTGCTTGCTTTTTTGTGCGATCGTTTAATTTGATGTTGATTTGATGATTTCTGGGTTTGATTTCGATGATTTTCTAGCTCTATGGTTTGAATTTGGAGGACAAATTTGGATTATGTGGTTCTTTGTTTTGTTGATTAGGGTTTGAATTTTAGCTGTTCTTGTAGTGAATTATCTTCAAATCAGGGTTACTAGAGCTTCAATTGATGAGTTTGATGACCAATAGATGAAGATTATCATGTAGATTTATGATGTGATTTATAGGATTTTGAGGAAACTATCACAAATTCGTTTTTTAATCATTTGAGTTTTTTGTGAGCATGCTTGGATTTTGTTTACGATGTAGGGTTAAGGTCGAGTACATCTTGATGATAGCAGGCTGTATATTGATCGATTCTGTGATTTTGACGATTTAGAGATGAGGTTGCTTGCATTTTGATGTTCTCAGATTATTGTTGTTGTTGTTGTTACCTTGTTTAGCAGGTATTCACTTTGCCATTTCATTTGATCGTAAATGGTCTGGTTCGGTTTGTATCGTTGTTTGTGATATATTCTTTATTAAGCTACTTGTTTGTAAGTAAACAATTTTTGGTTTTGTATCATTGTTTGTGATGTACGGAGTATTGTTTATTAAGTTTATGTTATGATTTAGGAGGATTTTGAAGAAAGATAGTAAAATTCATTTGAGCTTCTTATGGTTTTATTGAATTGTTGTTGTCCTTGTTAATATCTTTGTATGGGTTAGGCTATAACCGTAAGCAAGTGTCTCTGAAGCTCCGAGCTTTCTCTTTTGTGCTCTATCTTTTTGTTCTCAGTTTTTCAGTTCCTTAATTATAGCAACAAAGGTTTTATCCTCATGAATCTTTGTTTTTTGTTGGTCAGAAATCATGTCGTATGGAAGTACCTATCAACCTCAAGGAGGTACATTATATGAATATAATTGGCCATCCTTTCCCAGATATCATGACAACAGCAACTTATATCAAAATGATGACTATTATAGCTACAGCAGATATAACCATAACGGTAGTAGGATGTTTGATGAAATGAAGAGGCACGACTTTCACTACAATGCCTTAGGAAATTGTAGAGAATTAGCCCTTAGAGAAAACTATTCAAGGCCTAGTGGCGTACCATCTTTTAAAAGAAGAAGAATTTCAGAGAATGCTGGGGTAAATGATGGAAATTTTTATTTCCAACCAAATCAGAACAGAGTTGCCGCTTTCATTCCTTCATATGACAGTACTTATTTTCCCACTATAGCTGCTCCTAGTACAAGTGCTAATTGTAACACATCGGGTAAACGTGGACGGTCGGTTCTAGAAGATGAAGATTGCACAGTCCTTATGTCTAGGGAGGAGATAGAAAGGTGTTCCCCTTCAAGAAAAGATGGGATTGATGCATTACATGAAACACGGCTGAGGTACTCATATTGTGCCTTCCTTCAGAACCTTGGGATGCGGCTTGATGTGTAAGTTTGACTGTTGACTACTAATTTTTTAATAACTTGTCATTGCTTATGCAGCACATTTCTGGCTGAAGTTTAGCTTTTGTAAATTCATTCTATTTCCTGTTGCAATTCAGCCTACTTAGGGGTTGTTTGGTTGAACTTCTTGGAATGGATTGGAATGGATTTAGAATCCATTCCATGGTTTTATTTGTTTTGTTGGGCTATTTAAGTATGGAATCTCATTCATGGGGGATTCTAATTCCACCCTATTCCCTTGGAATCTCATACCCACCTCCCCTCTAAGGATTCATAATCCATACTATTAATCAAGTATGAGAATCCATTCCATGATTAAACCAAATAACTTTAGATTGGTATGAGATATAGAATCCATACCACCCAAGTATGAGAATTCATACCAATCCATTCCAGCTTAGTGAATCAAACGACCCCTTATTTTTGTTACCTTTACCTTTATCAGTTGATTTGCTTTCTTATCTGATTTAATTAATTTACTTTGGGATGTTGTAGGCCTCAAACAACAATAGGCACTGCAATGGTTTTATGCCACCGCTTTTTCATCCGACGATCACATGCCAACCATGATAGATTTGTAAGTTGCCGACAATACCTGTTTATTCATTGGATTAGTTCTCTTAAAAGTGATGATTGGAAGGTGAAGTAGCATATAGTCATTTTAGTATTACTAATTTAAGACTGGGATGATTAAGTAGCTTATGCAAGAATCAGTTCAGTGTTACTAAGCCCCTTTGTCTTAGTGTGTATCTATGCGGTTGGGATTTGGGAATCACTACCTCTATTCCTTGTTATTTGCTGCATCCAGTATAGTAGTGGTGATGGGGAGAGGGGAGGAGGTGTTTCTCTAGTTTATCAAATTTTATTGTAAATTCTCATTCTCATAGAAAAAAATTCAAGTGGGATTAAGAATTTAAGATACACTTATTTTATCTTTTTTTTCTTTTTTAATTTTTTTTTTCTTCTCAAATGTGTAATTTCTAATTATCAGTTTTTGGGCACTTTTGATATCAATGGTAAAGTTGAGAAAATGTACATTTAGCAAATAATATGGACCAAAAGGAGTACTTGTCGTGTTCTTGTTGGGAAGAAAAGAGTGAAACATATTTTGGTATGTTTCTTCTAAAATTATGCTGCTTGTGGAACTTTCAAGTTGTGTATTTATGTTTTGAATGGATCAATGGAAATTTGCATATTTCATATATTAATTTGGGGGCAGGGAAGAAACCTTTTTTTTTTAAAAAATCTATCTACTTGTTAATTCGTTAAACCACTGTACTGACGAAAGCTTTTTAACACTCGGCAATGGTTGTGATCTTTTTTTTTTTTTTTTTTTTTTTTTTTTTTTTTTTTTTTTTTCCCTGTTGGATTCATTAAACAATTGTGTTTTGAAGTTAATCTTTCAACAAATTTCTGTTACAGTTGATTGCTACTGCTGCACTGTTCCTTTCTGCAAAGTCTGAAGAGACAGCTCGCCCTTTGAATGATGTGTTGAAGGCGTCTTGTGAAATTCTCCACAAGCAAGATCTTACCATCTTGTCGTACATGCTCCCTATTGTAAGTATATTGTCCTTTGTTCTGTTAAAGTTGAGCTGTTGATGTGACTGCCTCTTGATATGTGCTGTATAGCATTGAAGTTAATTTTGAAAATAAAGTTGTGGGACATAATTCCATGTGATTATCCCAGTAATGATGATATTGATTTCTTTTAAGCTTATTATGAGTGCTAAAAATGTAGGTTGATGAGTGATGATAGAGTCACTTTTTTGTTTGATTACAAATATGGCTTAGTTAGGTATTAGGAAATTACTAATACATGTTATGTAAGCTGTTTAATTTAGCCCTGGAGCTTTTTGTATGCTGTTTGGAATGTTACTTATGCTGGCCGTACTTTTCACAACCAACTTAAAGTTGATTCCTTTTCGTCTGATTTGGTTTTCTCTAGTAGCTTCAACAAATGCTTTCACAATTTAGTATCAACTCCTCAAATCTGTCAGATGATTTCAAAATTTCAACATTGTATATTTTGATCTGTACTTTTGTAGGTTTTAGATCTTGTTGTTCCTATTATGACGATGTCTCTAGTACATGTATTTTGATGTTTTTTTTTTTAATTTTTTTTTTCTTTTTTTATTACTATTGTATCTACTGTCCTACTTTCTTGCTCATCTGACTGTTCTCATTAAATATTCTTTCCCCACTTTTATCGTATTAGCATTTTTAGCTCCTACTACCTCTGTTCTTTTTTTTATGGTTGGACTTTCCATTTGCATCCGTTTATTTATTTTTTGTTAAACTTTTACTTTATTCCTATTTTTGGCAAACTTGTATTTCTCCTTATACCACATGCAACATTGTCTTTCCTACATTTCTCACACTAACCCTTACAACAGTCTCTTTCTTACTCTTCCTTGCATAAACTCAGATTAAAAGTTACAGCACTCTTTCCTACCTACTATATGCATCTATAATAACTGTAAACATAAAAAATAAAAAATAAAAAATAAAATGAAAGGAATGGATGTACTAGTTGATTACATCTTATATATAATTGTATGGATAAAAAGTTTTCTTTTGCTAGGATTGTCAGTTTGTTTTCTTGAATTAGGGTAACATTTTCATGCTCTCACATGGTCACACACAGTCACACATACACGGTTATATGGTTTTAACGTTGGATTATTATTGATGAATGATCAATAGTAAATATCATGGGATTTTGGTGTTGAGGCGTGGGGTTAATTAGGAGGTGGTTAGTGGTGAGGGAGGTCATAAATCTATTACAGGTTACTTAGGATTTAATGATGGAAAGATTGGCTTTGTGTATACAATTGAGGACTTAGGGTTGGTTATGTTTTATACTTTGTTTATTCTTTATATATATACTTTTAAAATTTCCTTAACTAGGGGTGGCTTTGGGAATAATACCCTTACTAAGGAGTAGCTTTAAATAAAATTCATCATATTAAGGTTAAAAATCTGGCATCTCTCTGTGCGGGTGGTGGAGGTTGGGGTGGGTTTTGTGAAACTTGAATCTTTTTCAGGTGTAGTTGACTCCGTTTCTGCTAACTTTGACCTGGATTTGTTGAAGCTTGAACTTGAGTCTTGTCTAGTTGTCTGTGTCTGGTCAAGCTGACTCTGCTTCTGCTAACTTTGGCTTGGTTTTAAGCCGTCGTGCATACCATCTCAAGTCATTAATGGAATTTGCATTTCAGTTATGTGTTTGGCCTTGACGCTGCTTTGTTTTCTGTAATATGTGATGTAGCAATGTAGCATTATCAAGTATATTAGGCCTATCCCTTTATTTCATAAATTTGTTCCAGTATGAATTTCTTGATGAACTTGTTCCTTGATGCAGGATTGGTTTGAGCAATATCGGGAGCGAATCATTGAGGCTGAGCAATTGATTCTAACTACGTTAAACTTTGAGCTCAGTGTACAACATCCTTTTGATACTTTAACATCCATTCTTAACAAGTTAGGTGTATCACAGACACATTTGATGAATCTGGCACTGAACTTGGTCAGTGAAGGGTGAGTTTAGAATCTTATTATACTTCATTGCTTGCTTGTCTTTTTGCTTGAAATATTGTTATGCTGGAATGTAGCAATTTGGGAGATGATAAGAGATTTCACGTTCTGTTGTAAGGTGTTGCTGGCCAGATTTCAAAAGCTTGAATGTGCTTGTCCAATTATCATTTTATATGTTTCATCATGGAGAACTCAGGTCTAGTACATGAAGATCTTCAGTTTATAACCGCTAAGTGACTGGATGTCATCTCAATTGAACGTCTTTTGGCATCTGTTCAACGGAGATGAACTATTTCATGCTATTTTTTCCTTTTATATGACATGATTTTTACTTGTCTAATGAGCAGTTATTTCTACATGTTATGTTAGGCATAAAATATTAATTATTTGGCACGGAAAATAATTGCAGGGTTGATATGCCTAGCTGGCGGAGATTTGCTATAATGAAGTTATGTTTTACATCTGAAGTTGAACTGCCGTTGTGTTGTGGTTGCTTAACTCTGAAAATGCCTGTCAAGCTGGTATTTGGCTATAGCAGATAGACATAGACTCATTCCAGAATCGGTTTAAGTAGTTTTCCAGCTTTTCTTTTTTTTTGGGGTGACATCAAGTATAGAAATAAAGGGCAAAATAGAATATTTATGATATGATTAAATATTCTTTTGCTGTTTTTATTTCTGATTAATTAATATTTTATTAGAATTTAGAAACTAAGCTTGACTTCGATTTTATGCCCGGTGGTCAATATGTGGTTGATGAACAAATGATGAAGAGGGAGGGAGGTTTTTGGAGTGGGAGGAGACGAGTATATGGGCATGAATGCAGTGCATCTTATGCACACAACAGTAGTCATTCTGTTGGAGACTTGGAGTGGTCCTCCTGTTATGCTTTGTGAATTGAAGGGAGGACATAGTCAACCAAACAGTAGGACCTGCTGCTATTATTGCAGGGTGGCCTACTTTGCCCTGGTTTTGAACTCTCATGTTTTTCCATTCCCAAACCTTTTGTTTCCCCTTAATTGTGAAGCTTGTTGATGGTGAAAACCCTTGCCTCTATGGATAAGTATAAAGGGCTTTGATAAGGAGAGAATTTGCCAGAATCGCTGTCTTCAGTGTCAATTCGTATAGTGAAACTGGTCTTCTGGATTAACCAAATGCAGCAAATCTGGTAAGTTGAAGCTGAACATTTCAAATCTTGTGCTCTACAGCATTATACTTGACCTCCTGAAACACCTAGATTTGCAAAAAGTCAGGTTATATAACCCCACTGTAGTCAGCATGGCTTATTGCTGTTGATGGGTTCTTTCAGATCCAGAAAATATTGAAGGGGAAAAACAGAAAGAACATTGAATGGGAAAAAGAAAGATCGACCAATAGGTTAGTTGTATGTTTTGCATTCCTTTATGAGAATCAAAGTCAACAATGTTCGAATTGAGCAAGGATACCTCTTTATTAGAAAGACCTTCTTGAACACACTGGGGATGCTCATATTAATTGCACTCTATAGTTATATCATCAGGATATCAAGTTATTAATGCATAAAGTTGATTAAAAATTTGATTATGTGACTAATTTTTCTTATTTCATACTCATAAGTTGTAACATATATATCTGTAACTACTTAAGTAGCTTTTATATGCAATGAAAAAATGTCTACAGTAGAAAAATAAGAACCTACTCTGTTCTCACATAGTCCCTTCCCCTCCCTCTTGGAATAAATGGGTGTCTGCAACATTTTATTTAGGGAAGTGTCATTACATGTTTTTTCAGAGATTGCACTTCTTAATCATCAGTTTTTTTTCCCTATATTATCTATGAGTTTGATTTGAAGGGGGTTGAGTGATGGCAATTACCTTGCCATCATTTTGTGATGATGCAAAGCTGTCTCTTCTTGCAAACCAATGACTATCAATGTAATGTTGAAATTGACTTATTGTATCCAATTTTGCGCCAGGCATGTGTAATCAGTAATCACCATTATGGAAACAATCTCTTTGTTCCAAAGGTTTCTGATAGTTGGTTTTTTTTCTTTTCCAAAATGGCTTTATCTACATTTTAAGGGTTAGAAATCCATTGAAAATTTAGTATTGAAGGTGAACTCTTGCCTCTTGGTTTATTTGGCTGCTGTGGTAAATCATGCCTAAAGTGATGTATATAGGTTGAAAATGGATGATGAGAAGTAACTTCCATTTGAATACTTGTATATTTTTCTCTTTTGGGTTATGTTCATTGCTGTGTTATAAAAATTTGGATCTAGATCCAAAGATCTTATGTTTTGATTTTTCAAAATCAGGAATTCTTTGAGCTAAAACTGTTGTTTGTTTCATTTCACTTGTAGTTGGCAGTTTTTCAAACTGTAAATGCATAGATTGTTCATGCCTGGTGCATGGACTAAGTGAAATATATGATTTCAAAATCAGTGATTCAACATGCATAGAAGAGTTACTCCTTGCATATCTTCACATGGTTTGGCTTTTGTGTGTGTGTGTGTGTGTGATAGTAGGAATGTGGAAAGTTTCCTTGGATATATGTTGCATATTTTGGGTCTAGACTCTAGACTCTGTCTCTTTGGTCTAATGATGATCTCATAGTCTTCTTTCTTAATTGCTTCAGTTGATTATAATGTTCTGTTACCCCTCACTTATATTATGCCTTAAAAATACAGGGAGACTGTGATTGTTCCTCAATGCATTATCACTTTTATTATCTTTAAGAGATGACAATGATGCACCACCTTCAATCAACTGTAGGAGTTCAGTATAATTTGGTTTGATATTTGAAAACATTGGATAACTGTGCCACCATTGATCTGTTTGAAAGTCTAGTTATATGTTATGAGACTTGGATCTGAAGTTGTGGCAATGTATCGCTGTGATCTAGTTTGTGACTAAGGCTCTTAGTTGAGCCGTTGATAAATTCTTGGGTAAATTTACAATATTCTATCGCCAGAGCATAACATTATATATGGCATAACGCTTAATAACTACCAAATAAAAACAGGAAATAAGAAAAAAAGTTTCATTATTGTATATTTTAAACTTTGATATTATCTTTGTTAAATGCTATGAAGTATTATCTATGTGCAATTCTGAAGCAACTATGGCCAGGTTTGAGGCTGTGAAATTTTCAAAGTTTTACTATCTGTACTGAACATATGGAGCATTCAAGTTGACAAAAGGGCTAAAAATGCGTTGATACTTACCAACAAGTAATGCTTAACATATATGAAAACAAGAAGTGGTTTTGTATTTAAGATGTGTTTGAAGCTGAACATGATATTGATGATGGAGATCCTCATACCCCTTTATTTCTGTCATTAATTCTTCCTCAGTCTCCTTCAGTCCTTATGTGCCAGCACTCAGCAGGAACTATTATCAGCTATGCTCAGTGATTTATAGCTTTTGGTTGGTTGGTAGTTTGGTACAAATGGGTTTATTTAGAACAATTTAACTAAAATTTGAGCACTTGGTGAGATCCTTTAAGTGATGTATCTCAATAACTCTTGCGCATTTTGTTATGGGAATGGTCACTTGAAGTACTTCAAAGTTGGCCAAAAAGAAAAATGATACATTCCTAGTTTAGATTAATCTGTGTAGTCTGGAATCTATACCCAAAAATTGACACTTTAGTCCAAATATAATAGTGAATTTGTGTGTAGAAAGACTGAAAGAGGTATCAGTTTGTGGTCTATTAGAATCTCACTTTGTAAATTAGTGGACAGTTTGCGCATAATAATCTTGCCAAATATTCTTGACATGACAGTGTTGTACCATCAATTGTTATAATTTAGCCATTAGATTCAATTATCTATTATGGCCAAATGTTTGTGTGGCTTATGGTGTTGATGAATACCTAAGAAGATGTGAATGGTTGCTGAGCTTCCATTCTTTGAGTATTAAAAAGCAACACACCATGGTCTTTTCAATATCTATTCTTTGAGAAAAGATGGCTGAACATTCTAAAAGGTTGGCCTATGTTTTTCGCCATCTGAATGTTTTGAGATGCTGGACTACGAAATATGTACGTGGGAAAAAGGCTACAATTAGAACTTCTTTGGAAGTTGGAATGATCTCTTTAATGATTGTGAAGTATTTCTGTAGTTTTCGTACTCCTTTCAGCTGTTCACCAGAAGCGTTCAACTAGGTTGCTGGTTAAAATTTTGGTAAGAACACATGTCTTGGTCTGTTCTTTCTTGCAACCTAGTTGGAAACTTGGAATCAATATTACATTTTTGCTGCTGCTGCCCTTTTGTTGTCTTCTGGTGCTCTTGGCCTTTTTATAGATGATGTAGTTTGTTATGATGTGTTAATATGCCAGGCTATTGGAGGTATTTCTGCAATCCTGCTGTAATATTTTTGTTTTGCTTTCTCTTGGGATGTTCTTTAATCCTGGACGCCATGTCTCTTCCTCTGCTACATTAATTTTGTTATAATTGTGTTTCCTTATTTTTTTTTTGCAGGTTTCGGAGTTCACTGTGGCTTCAGTTTAAGCCCCAACAAATTGCTGCCGGTGTAGCATACCTTGCTGCCAAGATGCTGAATATGAACTTTGATTCTGCCGGCATTTGGCGGGAATTTCAGACGCCTCCAGCTGTTCTTCAAGGTAGGTGAATCTTCCATAATCTATTTTCAGCATTTATTGGCTTCCCCCTCTTTCTTAGTTTCTCGTTTATGGGAATTTGTATAAGTGCCGTTGTAATTTGGACTATCATATACACCAGAGCTTTTGTTTTTTGATCCTTGTGGTTCCTTGTGTTGTTTCATGGTCATCATTCAGTCTTTATTTTTGGTTATAAGCATAATGAAAATTTTCTAGAAGTAAACTGTTGCTGTTTTGGTGACTGAAGTGTTTTCTTCATTGATCCTTCAATTGACTTTTCATGACATTTACCTGCTCTGATGGATTGATCAATTCAATTAAAAAATCTGAATCAACTTAAGTAAAAATGCTAATGAAGAGATATTTCCTGGATAGCAGTCACTACAAAGAAACTATGTGAATATTTTAATGTCTACTATATTAAACATCCATATTATGAGATTCTGTTTACAGGTTTGTAAGCTAAGACATTTTAAATGAACCTTGAAAAGTTATTTAATCAAAATCATTTTCTGGTAAGTGGTAACATCATGCTCAGTACAACTTAATGGTCTAGCAATGATTTGGGATGAGTGATGGATATCTAGCAATGATGTGGGATGAGTTATGGATATGATATCTGATGACTGATGCTATTATAGACAAAAAAAACTATTATGTTACACTCTGTTTTTTTTTGTTTTTGTTTTAAATGCAACAGTTCTTATTATTTGTTTATTTTTTTTTTTTAAATGCAACACTTAATTGGAAATAGTCTACACTATTTTATTGTATCTCATTCGTGACTCCTTACAATGTCCAGACCCCTACTCCACTTATACACTGGTCAATTTGTTGCATATATATAAGAGTAAGGGAATCCCCACCCCAAACTCCCAAAGTGGCTCTAGTGAGGTTTGATGTGGTTGTGGGATGACAAACCTTATTACTAGACCAAGCTAGCCATCCAAGAGATATTAGATCTCCTGCTGTACCTGTGATTATGTACATTTTTTCTTTTTTTTTTAGTTACATCAGCTTTAGAGATCAAGTTCTTTCAGCAAGTTGCCTCCCCATATCACTATTTTCTTGAATTAGGTTCTTGAAAGGAGTCATAGGAAAGTATTGCTTGTTTGCATTCATAGCAGCATTTCTAAGTGCCATGTGAATATCTGATTAGATTCTGTGAATATCTGTATTTGTACATCCCATTCCTTCCTCTTGTTTTCATTTATCATATAATTATGCGTCTTTCTTTCATGTGCAGATGTAGCGCAGCAGTTGATGGAGCTTTTTCAGGATTAATCGAATCTACATGAAGGTTCTGCTATGTATGCTTGTACCAACAAATATACGAATTAATTAATTCACTGGTGGTGTTAGTGATTAAAACTTAACTACTGAAGTTTGATTCTGGTCTGTCAGTAGAACTGTAGAAGTGTGCTTGAATATTTATAAGTAGAAGCATAGTACATTACGTCTTACACGGTTTAGGGCACATACCTTATGCCTACTGCAGAGGTATTTTAATTGGACATTTAATTCTCGGATGTTTTGTATGTTGCTTATCGTGAACCTGGTTGTGAAGAGCTTATTTGTATCAGTGATTGTGAAATTTTCTACTCAACTTACTTCCGTTTGATCCTCCAACAAAAAGTCAAAAAGCCTTGAACACTGGTTAACTTTATGTGGTTTCTCTTCTGCTAATGCATACAATTTCCAGGTATCATAGTCGGCAAAGTAATTGCTCAACCTTTACATAAGTGAATGAAAGGAGCCTCAGGGTAAAGTATTCGATTTATTTTGATAGCAAGAGTAGATTACATAAATTATGCACATATCACTTAAATGGCCTACCGCCTACTCCAAGTAGCAAGTGCTTGTCGCATTAGGAATTCCCCTCGTAAGGAGGGTTTTCTAATGTTTCTTTTTCTCAAGTTGCAAGTGCTTGGCTCTTGTCTTGGCTTCATGTTATCCCTTTTTAAACTTCAATTATTGTCTCATGCAATCATGCACTAATGGTCTGTTTAAATCTTTACTTGATGGTCTTATGCTAAAGTTCAAGAGTACAAGGTTGTTGTGTAGTTCTAACATTTTATTTACTTTGGCTATCACATTTGTTTAATATATCTGTATTCCAAACCTTTTGAGTATTAGACTTAGTTCAAACAATTTTAGTACTTTACACTATTTGTTATTAGGGCGTTTTTTTTTTTTTTTTTTTTTTTTTTTTTTTTTTTTTTTTTCCGCCGTTGCGAAACAATGGTAGGGCTATTGTCGTTGAGAATACGATTTCAGGAAGAGAGTACAACGAGGAGACGAAAGTAAAGGTATTTGTGTGGTTCGTCGGCGAGAAGATATAGAGATGGTGGTTGTGATGGGTTTTGCTGTGATGGTGGCTGCAAATCCTGCGATGGTGTCCATGGTGATGCAGGTGGAAGCAATTTAGTTTTACTACGTATTTATACAGGAAATTAAAAGAATTATCAAAATATTATAAAATTTGCCTTCTGATATATATATCAGGCAGATTAATGGGGCACTCCGCACTCCCCTAAATGTAACACTAAAAAAAATGAAAATTTTGTGAAGAAGTACCCAAAGATAGGTTGTTTTGTGGACAACTACTTGTTTTTTTATTAATTTGTGAACAACTACCCATAAGATGGCAAACGTTTGTCTAGCACTACCCATTAACGGATTCCGTTAATTTGTGCTGTTTGTAGGGTCCTCTCCTACGATTTCTCCCCTCCCCCAAATAACTCCCTCCTCAAGTACCTTTCTCCTTCTTTCACCATTTTTACTTCTCTTCTTACACCTTGCACCTTTCAACATCTTAATCTAACCTAAGCGAATATTTGTGCTCCAAATTCATCCCCATTTCAATGAATAGACATGACTTAAATTGATATCCTACCCATAAATATGAAACAAAAGTAGTTATTTATTAATCAAAATGCAATTGAATTCAAACCTTAACCTTAATTAAGCAAAACCCCTATTCTAATTCAAATCCTAAACCCTAGAAATTAAAATCCCCAAACTGAATTGAATCTTAACATAATGTTAATTGAAGTAAATTAAAACCCTAAACTAATCAAAGAGACCAAGGATTAAATCAATGGCTTAAAACATTACATAATTTAGTGAGAAATTGTGTTGAATTGATCGAATCGTTTTTTTGGTTTTTGGATGACTTTAAGGTTCTTGGAGAAGGAGTTAATTTGGGGAGAAATCATAAGAGTGGGCCCCATAAATGACACAATTGGACGGAATCCGTTAATGGGTAATGCTAGACGAACGTTTGCCATCTTATCGGTAGTTGTTCATAAATTAAAAAAAAAAAAAAAAGGTAGTTGTTCACAAAACAGCTTATCTTTAGGGTAGTTCTTCACAACATTTCCAAAATAAATAGAGAGAATACTTCATAGTATTTTTTCTTATGCTTAATAGTTTGTCGCTAAAAAAACATATAACAATGATTACTCATTTTATTGATAGCAATTAATAAAGATGAATAACTTAGATTGTCAATAGTTGTTGCACAAACTTTCATCTGTGGTTGGCCACACGATTTTTTTTTTTTTTTGAAAGAATGATTGGGGTTATTTGATCAGGGGTTACTCGGTTAGCCAGGGGTTACTCACTCGGTCAGTTAGGGGTTACTTGGTTAGAGGTTATTTATTGGTCAGGGGTTACTCAGTTAGGGATTACTTGGTCATGGGTTACTCGGTCAGGGGTTACTCGGTTAGGGGTTACTAGGTCAGGGGTTACTCGGTCGGTCAGGGGTTACTCGTGTGTTAGCTGGTCACACGGTGTAGCCAACCACACATAAAAGTTGTTGTTGCTGTTGACGATGAAAGTCTTCACTATTTTTTTTTCTACTCACTATGTAATACTCCGTGTTTTCTAACCAAATTAGCGTTAACACCTTGAATTGTACCTTAAGAGCACCTATTACCCCGAACTTTGACTGGTACCAATCACACCACCAATTATTGATTGGAGTGCAACGTGTGCCATTAGTTACCAAAAATGTCTTATTTTGAGCGTAAAAAAATACAGTGCCTATTAATGGCACACATTGCACCCCAACTAATAGTTGGTGGTGTGCTAACTACTAATCAAAGTTTGGAGTGCCAAAGTTCACCCAAGTTATAAATCAAAGTGTTGATTATTGAGGCCAAATTTGCGTATTTTGACTATGATTTGGCAATAAAACAACGGATTTTTTTTCGTTCAAAACCCTTTTTTTTAAGTACATTCATTGGTCATTTCCCTAGCACTCCCCCTCATATGTGATTATATATTATCTATCAAAACACTTCATAGAATTAAGGATGTGAGGTGACCTGAGATTTGAGAGTTGAAGGAAGTCGGAGAAAAGGGGTGGGGAAGGGGGTAGTTACATGTTAGTACCATATATAGATGATGAAGATGGGATGGTTGGTGTGATGATGGGGTATTACCGTATTAATTTATTATTGTGGGAATGCATGACTAATATGGGGTGGTGCTGTGGGGTATTTATACGGGAAATTGTTAGAGAATAATTAAAATAACATTATAAGGTTATATTAAGACTAGTACGTACCCAAGCGATGTCCCGAGTTCCCTCCATAAAATATATCCTTATGTATTGGCTATCTATAAAATAATTATATATAGGGAATAATTATTTTCTCAAATACATTATCACTAATGTCTAAATCTATCCACGTTTGAAACATTAGTTGCTTTAAATGTTCATAATCGGATGAGTAATTTAATTTTATGGTTCCATTGCCATTTAATAATTTGAGTATTTTTTTTTTCTTAGACTTTATTCAAAACCTTCATTTTGAAAGTAAGTCTCCAGCTCCTAGATTTTAAG